CTAATTTCATTTCAGTGCCGAAGTTAACAATCCCACATAAAATGCAATTCCCTATATAGTAGTTTCCCCATATCCTAGGTTTCACCTTCCACAGTTTCAGCTACCTGAAGTCAACTGTGGTCTGAAATTATTAAATGGAAAATCCTAGAAACAAACTCATAAGTTTTAAATTGTGTGTCCTTCTGAGTAGCATGACGAAATCTTGTGCCATCCTGCTTGGGACATAAATCATCCCTTTGTCCAGCGTGTCCACGCCATTTATACTACTCACCTATTAGTCACTAGGAGCTGTCTTGGTTATTAGATTGAAAAAACATAGTATATACAGGGTTCGGTACTAACCAGTCTCAGGCATCGATTGAAGGTCTTGGAACATATCCTCTGGGGCTAAGGGGGGGCTACCGTATGATGCAGCGTGGTGGGAGAATTGATATCTCATCCCAGTTCTAACAGAAGAAGATGCTGGACCCCAGGTCCTGGTAGCTTTCCTTGACCATGCTATTTTTAAATGGTTCCTCCTTAGTTGCCCAAGGACAACAACATTAACTTCTTTGTTACTGTGTCTCTCTGATAGAAGGGAGTGGGCAACCCAGAGCTGGAGGTTGGGTTGTCAGTTCCTCCTGAAACAATATAATAAGTACTACCACACTGTGGGAAACCAGAGGGTGCCTAACCAATCTCGGGGGCGGGGTGGAGAGGATGTCAGAGAAGGCTTCCAGGAGGAAGGAGGAATTAGCTAGTTAGGAGGAACAGAGGAGGGAAAGGGAGCTCCAGGTACAAGGAGCTTGTACAAAGAAAGGCTCACAGGCAAGGAAGGAGAGCCATAGGTAGTTTGGAATGGGGAGCTCAAGGGAGGAAATAAGAGACAAAGAAGGAATATGTGGCCAAGCTAGGTGGCTCACTCCTGTAATCCTAGCACTCTAGGAGGCCAAGGCAGAAGGAACACTTGAGGCTGATCCTTGAGTTCAAGACCAGCCTGAGCAATAGGGAGACCCCATCTCTACGAAAAATAGAAAAATTAGCCAGGCTGTGGTGGCACATGCCTGTAGTCCCAGCCACCCAGAAGCCTGAGGCAGGAGGGTCGCTTGAGCCCAGGCGTTTGAGGTTGCTGTGATCTCTGATGATGCCACTGCACTCTAGCTGGAGCGACAGTGTGAGGCTGTCTCAAAAAAAAAAAAAAAAAGAGAATAAACAGGTAGCCATATCTTAGCACGAGATTGCACCTGCTTGTCAAACACTGAGAAATTCTACTCCAAATCCAAGACCAAAAGAGGAATGCAAAGAACAGCGAAAGTCTAAGAGAACTCTCACAAGTTAGCCAGTTCTGGACTGGGAAAAACCGAGGAAGGCAGGTTCGATTGGGTGCCCCTCGTTCTCTTTTCTTGCTCCCTCCCTGGAGGTGTTCACCGGTCTGGGCTGCCCACTGGCTGCAGGATCCCCAAGGCAGTATCTCGCCCAGGATTCTGCTCCCTGAACCCGCAAAACGTTTCCAGCCTGTCAGTCTCTGCCCTACAACTCACTCCCTCAAGCGAGGATGTAATCACTCATGGTGTGAAAGGCATTGGTCCTGTGGGGAGAAAGATGCAAATACCCTATGGTCTCTGCCCTATAAGAAAAAGCCCCATATTCTAGCCCAGGTTCTCATGGCCCTGTTTTCTGCTAACAAAGGTGCAAACTCAAACATTAGCTATCTCAGGCACTTACCTGTGTCCTTGTTTCGGTCCCATCACTTAACTTCCTTGGGCCTCAGTTTCCTCATATAGAAAATAAAAGTGTTGGCATAGCTCACTGTATTCTGATCAGGGCTCCTTGAACTCTTGAGTCCTCTGAGGCAGCCCCCAAGAGCTATTCTTGGTACTAAAGGGTAACAGAAATCACACATCCAAAGACGTTAGGGCTTCATACCATCATTCCATAAGTAAAGCTTTATGTTGATTTCTTTTTGAGTTAGCTTCTGGCAGGAATTGCTCAGTGTAGTAACACTGGTCATTTCCTACTGATCAGAATTTCTAGTTATTCACATGCCTCATTTCCTAAAAAAAAATAAAGAATTTCTAGTTGGCAGCCATATACATATAAAACTAATAAAAAAGGCAAATGAATTTTTTCAAAAATCATGTTCATTAGACAAAAATATTTTAAAACATGGAGGACAGATGAAAAGATTGGGAATTATTAGGCTAACAGTTAAAGTTCCCCTCCAGCTTTAAAAATCCTATGGTTCTAAGCTGATGAATGAAGTTTGCTAGCATGTGAATTTGTTATACTTATCAGGTAACCTGAACATTTTAAAGGGAGATGTTAGTCATCTAATGATAAGATTAATGGTGAAAATTCGGAAGGAAATTTGGAGAGGCCAGAATTTTAAGGTCATCCCTTGAAATACACTGATGACCGCCTTAAAGAGTTGGCCCAGTATCCCCCCTTCCCTAGGCCTGGGCTCAGTGTCAGCCTCAGGGACACCTAGCTCTGTTTTTGACACTTAGCAGACAATACACTTTGGTGGTACCTTCACTGACATGGAAGCAGGTAGCTCCCCATCTCAGACCTGGCCCTCAGAAGGTTTTAGGGAACCCAATACTTTGAGCAGAGTCTTCTTACATATTTTCCTCAGAGACCGCAACTCCCTACCCTTCCTTCCCACTGGTTTTAAATCTAACACCCCACGCAAGCTGAACCAAGGGGAGCAAGCCCAGACAATTCCCTTTCCTAAGCCTCCCTTGGGGTCTCTACTTGTCAGCTCTATCACTGTCTTTAGCCCTGACCTACATCTTAGGGTTGGCTTGGCAGAGACTTGTTGGGGAGCAGGGATAGTGTAAGAAGTAAAAAAAAAGAAAAAATAACTGTTTGTCTCCTTCTAGTCACACACTCAACATAGAACACTTTTGTGACCAGGCACAGGGGGTAGAGGGATCCCTACTCACCAAGCAATTCTCCAGTGGACACGAGCTGAGTGATTCACTTTAATTCTGACACTAGCTACCTGGAGATAGCATCAGATCCCACAAGATAAGGGCTCAGTCACACCAGACTGTCCCCACCCCTTCAGATGCTAATTGCAAGTATTAATAGTAGATTTCACCTCTACTTTTTTTTTCACTCTGTTGCTCAAGCTGGAGTGCAGTGGCCCAATCATAGCTCACTGCAACCTGGAACTCCTGGGCTCAGGCGATCCTCCCACCTCCTGAGTAGGTAGCTAGGATGACAAGCGTGTGCCACCACACCTGGCTAATTTTTAAAATTTTTTGTAGAGACAGGGTCTCACTATTTTGCTCAGGCTAGTCCTGAAATCCTGGCCTCAAGTGATCCTCCCACCTGCCTTGGCCTCCCAAGGTGCTGGGATTATAGGCATGAGCCACAGTACCTGGCCCCACCTATACTTTTGATCAACCAGCTATAAATTGGGGTTTGATTAATTTACTGAGATGGCTCACAGAGCTCAGAGAAACATTTACCAGTTTATTAACCAGTTTACTGGTTTATTATAAAGGATATTACAAAGGATACAGATGAACAGCCAGATGAAGAGGAGATGGATAGGACAAGATGGAGGGAAGCTTCCATGCCCCCTCTGGGTGAGCCATCCTTCTGGTACCTCCTCGTGTTCAGCAACTTGGAAGCTCATCAACTTGTGTTCCAGGGTGTTTTTAGAGCTTGATGTTCAGCACCTCCCCCCACCCCCCACCTTCGCCCTTTCCTGGAGGTTGGTGGGTAGGGCTGAAAATTCCAAAACTCTAATCCTGCTAATAGGTAATCCAGCTTGGTCTTTCTGGTGACTGGCCCCATCCGGAGGCTATCTAAGGCCCCCACCCTAAATCATCTCATTAGAATAAATCAAGGTGTTATCAAAGGGGCTCATTATGAATAACAAAACACTCCTATTACTCAGGAAATTCCACAGGTTTTAGGAGCTGTGACAGGAACTGGGGACAAAGACTGAATATATTTCATATTATACATACATAACATGATAGATAGCTATGCCACACCCTCATCACAGGAGCCCATGAAGGTGGCATAAGACTCTAGCTCTGAAAAGGCATTCGGAGTGGGGCTCTGAAGCTTCTGTGGAAGGATGGGAGACTGGGGACAGGCCACCTCCAAATCCTCCAAATAATCTCCTGTTATCAGGAAGATTCTCTGATAACTTTGGCTTCAATTGGCAACCAGAATATTTCATTTGCAAGTTCCGGAAGTTTTTAAATTCAGGTATGATAAAATCTTTGTTCAAGGAGTTTTCAAATAGATCCAAGATATGATCTCAATACCTTGTACTGCCTTCAAATCTGCTAAATGTCCCCTTGGAAAAGTCCCTCCTTGTCTCTCTCTGAAATATTTCAAATGCACTTTCCCAACCTTATGATTATGTAAGGGTTGGTAAAGGGACAACATGGTTTACCCAATAATCAGATTAAGAAAGGTATCCCAGCTCTAAGGCAGGAAAGCAGGATCTTGAGTGGAGGTAACCCCGGGACTAAATATGCAGCCATACTCTTGTATCAGGATGGAGAAGAGAGCTGAGGTCAAGGGAAAAGGTCCAGTCGAAGGACTCAACCTTGTGAGAGGAAAACCGGCATCTGTTGGAGCCACCAGCTTCTAAGCCAGGGATGAGGGGGCAGGCCTCTGCCTAGCCTGAGATATGAGGAGGAAACCGAGACACTCACACTTTTAAGGGGCCATCAACTCTTGTTCCAGAGTGTTTTTAGAGCTTGATGTTCAGCACTTCCCCCCGCCCCCACCCTTTCCTGGATGTTGGTGGGTAGGGCTGAAAATTCCAAACCTCTAATCCTGCTAATAGCCAATCACTTGGTCTTTCCGATGACTGGCCCCATCCTGAGGCTATCTAGGGCCCCCACCCTACAGAAGACAGAGCCCCAGATAAGGCAGAAGCCCAAGACCATCCACTCTACCCTCCCCTCCCTCCGCGGCCCCGCCTGCAACACAGCCGCTTCCGGCCGAGAGGGGGCGCCAGCGCGCTCCCGCCGCGCCTGCGCAGGGAGGGCGGGTCAGCGCGCCGGCGCAGTGCGTCAGTCACAGGCTGGGTGTTGCAGTTTGGTCCTCGTTTTCCTGAGGTTTGGGCCAGCCAAAAGTCCAGCAGAAAAGAACATGGTGCTAGATTTGGATTTGTTTAGGGTGGATAAAGGAGGGGACCCAGCCCTCATCCGAGAGACACAAGAGAAGCGCTTCAAGGACCCGGGACTGGTGGACCAGCTGGTGAAGGCAGACAGCGAGTGGCGACGATGTAAGTACCGGGACGCGCGGGTTATCCCCCGATCCTAAACCAACTTCGTCTCTCGAATCAGGTCGCTGCTCCTGAGGTCACAGTTTCCACCCTTCGTCAGACACCCCCTTCCAGGCTGTGGTGGTTCCAAGGCTCTTATCCCAAAAACACAGCCTGGGAACCGGGGTCGTCCCACTTTATCATCCACCCCAGCGGCGCAAGGTCTCTTCCGCGCGTGCTCGGCGCGGAGCGCAGCTTATGTGCGCATGCGCATGTAGAGCTGTCAAGTCTTCCTGCCTCTTGGGTAACCAGGAGAAAGCCGGGGCCGGAGGTTTGGGAGGCCCCCTAACACTTAGCTTTGGTGGCCCCCAGTCTTTCTCATCTTCAGCAAGGACAGGGTGGTTTCCCTCTGTTCTGATAGGATTAAAGGCTTCTCCCCGAGACTGAATCACAATAGGTTCACTCCATCCATATCGGAAGCATTTGGGGACGTTGGAGGCCGCTCTTGGCTAAAAGCAGTGATCCCAGAGCTTTTAGGAAGACCATCCCCCTGACCTGTGAGCATACCTTTAAGCATCAGGAAAGTCTTTTCCGTGGTAGATCGGACTCGAGAGAAGGGTGCGGTCAGGCAAGAAAAGGCTCGTAATTATTGAGGCTGTTTAATTCTGGTTTGTGGAAGTTTTCCTTAAAAGACGTTGGCAGAGTTGGGCTAGAACCTGGAACTGTTCCGAGCATCTTTCATGAAGCTATATAAAACCATAGAACAATATGCCTGTCAATCTCTGCCTAGATTAACTGGAGTGGTCACTGGTTGGGCAAATGCTACCAAGCACATGTGATTCATTTTGTCTGATGCAATAGGTCTGCAACCAGCTGAGAGCCAGATTTATGACAGCATACTGCAAAGGCAACCGCTATCCAAGAGTGTGATGGATTTCTCTTAGGAAAATTGATTTTCCTAAGTTTATAAGGGCCTTGGGTACCAAAAGAATATTTGTTTAGCTTCATTTGTCTGCTGATTCTGTATACCTGAGGCACTCTAATGGGGTAGTTCGTTTGATTGTGAGATTCTGCACTTGAATCTGAAGTTTTGAGTTGCAATGGAATTGAATTTTGCCATATTTTCTGTCTAGGATAAAACTAGACTGAGCACTATTATACTGACTCTAAAGTCAGGAGTATCAGATTTTTGTGTCATTCCAACCATTAGCCAGTTGCTAAATGATTTTGAATGTGTCAGTTAGTCTCTTGTGTATAACGTACACATCTGTGGGAAGTTTTGTCTTTATGTGACAATTGGATGTGTGATGAGTTCTTCAGTGACAAAGATTGAATTTCTATTTATCTGTATATCCCAGCACCTAGAATATACATATATGTATATAAGATATACATATACACATATGTACATACAATCTCAATACATAGCACACTGCACCTGGTTCTTAGTAAGGGCTTGATAAAGATTTGTCGGCTGCATGAATATCTTCTGTGTTCAGGGTACTTTACACTCTTTATGAAAGGCAGTTTATGTAGTTTATTTTCAATGTGTGTATTAATTTGATTTTTTTCTACTTGACACCCTTTCCAATATTCTCTTTGCATCCAAAGGGTGTTCATGATTTTCCCCTAGTCCCTGGCCGCCCAATTAACATTGAACAGATCTTGTATCAAGGTTCTTTTGCATCTTGAACTTCAGATCAGAGGTTAGGGTTCTTCTATCATTGGCTGCAACAAGGACTTGAACCAGAGCCACATTAAGAACTCGGATCATGCTCCCTGACTGAGGACGCAGCAAGCTTCACCAAGCCCTCCATTACAACTATACCTATTTGTCTTCCTGTAGACTTCCAAGGTGCTACTAAGATTCCATGGAAAAAACAGGATTCTAATATAACTTGCAGTCATAATATCACATTGAAGTTTACCACAACTCTTCTAACTCCAGAGATTTGAACTGTGATTTCTTCTTTTTTATTCAGAGTAGTATAATGAGGCCACACTTGGGCATATTTGCCTTGGCTCTACTCCGAAAGCAACTATGTATCTGAAATCTGCTGCCAACTACAGGAATTCTATCCTCCCTAAAAAGTGCTATCCTGAGTGAAATTTCTTTTTACTATCAATTGAAGTTGTTATTTTCTCTTAACACTTACTATAGGTGCCTTAAGCCAGGTCCTAAATCATTATTTGCCCCAGCAGTTGTATTCCAACTTTCTAACTGCTTTCAGTTTCACCCTAATCTTACTCAGGGGGAGGCCATGTCCAGGGCACGTGATTTTTCTAGAATGCAAATCTCATCATTTCACTTGCTGGCTTAAGTTGTGCAGTAGCACTCATACCTTAGAGCAACACTGTCTGATGCTCCTCAACTTATGATAGAGTCATGTCCTGATAAACCCATGATAAGTTGAAAATATCTAAGTCAAAAATGCATTTAGAGCCGGGCAAGGTGGCGCATGCCTGTAATCCCAGTGACTTGGGAGAATGAGACAGGAGGATCACTGGAGCTCAGGAGTTCGAGTCCAGCCTGGGCAATATAGTAAGACCCTGTCTCTTAAAAAATTAGCCAGACATGGTAGTGTGCAGTAGTAGTTCCAGCTATTCAGGAGGCTGAGGCAGGAGGATCGCTTGAGCCCAGGAGTTCACAGTTATTGTGAGCTATGAAATCCAAATTTGTTTTGTTTTCTTTCTTTTTTTTTTTTTGAGACAGAGTCTCACTCTGTTGCCCTGAGTGGAGTGCTGTGGCATCAGCCTACCTCACAGCAACCTCAAACTCCTGGGCTCAAGTGATCCTCCTGCCTCAGCTTCCCAAGTAGCTGGGACTACAGGCACGTCCACAACCCGTAGCTAATTTTTCTATTTTTGGTAGAGATGAGGTCTTGCTCTTGCTCAGAGCTGGTCTCAAATCCGTGAGCTCAAGCGATCCTCCCACCTCAGCCTCCCAGAGTGCTAGGATTACGGCTTGAGCCACCGCGCCTGGCCCATATACGCATTTTTACATGTATCTTTTGTTAGACATAAAAACTTGTTTCCATTGGTATATACCCAGGAGTGAAATTGCTGGACCATAGGGTAGGCACATGTTTAGATTTAGTAGATAATGCCAAATCGTTTTCAAAGTGGTTGCAATGATCAGTATTCCTACCAGCAGCATCTAAGAGTTCCACTTGCTTGGCATTCTTGCCAATACTTGGCATCAACAGCCCTTTTAGTTTTAGCCATTCTGGTGGATATATATATCGGTGTCTCATTGTGGTTTTAATTTGCATTTTCCTGCTGACTAAAGATATTGAGCACCTTTTGATAAGTTCGATGGCATTTGGATAGCCTGTTTTGAAAAGTACCTGTTTAAGCCTTTTGACCAAATTTATTTGATTGTCTTTTTTTTAGTGATGCATAGGAATTCTTTATATATTTTGGAAAGAAGAATACCTATTAATACATATACTGCGGATCTCTTCTCCCAGTCTGTGACTTGCCTTTTCACTCTTTCAGTCTTTTGATGAATATAATTTCCTAATTTTAATGATATCTGATTCTTGTGTTCTGTTTAGGAAATACAGAATTTAAGCCTGCAAGTGAAATCATTAGATTTGTATGTCCTAAGCTTCAGAAGAGATTCTCCAGTTTTTTTCCTATAAGTTTTATTACTTTACCTTTCACATTTAAGTACATGATTCATCTCACATTAATCTTGGTGTATTGTGTGAGATAAGGATCAAAGGTTTTTATTTTCATGTGGAGAGTCAATTTCTCATGATAAGAACAGCAAACTGAAAATAGAAGGGAACTTCCTTAATTTGATAGTAGGCATTTACCAAAAACACCCCATAGCTAACATTTTTCTTAATGATGAAATATTGAATACTTTCTCCCTGAGGTTAGGAACAAGACAAGGATGGCCATTATCACCACTTCTTGTCAACATCATGCTGAAGGTTCCAGACAGTATGATATAAGGCAAGAAACAGAAATAAAAGATTGGAATGGAAGAAATAAAACTGTCATTATTTGCAGATCACTTCATAGTGTGTGTAGTATCTGAACTATTAAAATTAAATACAGGGTATCCCAAAAGTCTCTATACAAAGGAAAAATTTTGTAATGAAAATTTTGTAAATAAAGATACATTTAGCTAAATTTCCTATTTTCCTTATGTATGGTGACTTTTGGGACGCCCTGTAACTTTAGCAAGATCACTGGATACAATATACAGAATCAAAAGTATTTCTATATACAAATAACAATGAAAAAGCATCTGATACCTAGAAGTATATCTAGTAAATAACATTCAAGACTCTTACACTGCTGAGCGTGATGGCACGGCACCTGTAATCCCAGCTACTTGGGAGGCTGAGGTGGGAGGATTGCTTGAGCCTAGGAAGTCTGAGGCCAGCCTGGGCCTTAGTGAGACCCTGTTTCTAAAGAAAGAAAATAAAAAATGATAAAGACACCAAAGAGTTTTTTTTTATTTTTTGGCAACACTTTTTGTTTTTGTTTTGTTTTTTTGATTTTTTGGTTTTGAGACAGAGTCTCACTCTGTTTCCTGGGCTAGAGTGCTGTGGCGTCAGCCTAGCTCACAGGAACCTCAAACTCCTGGGCTCAAGTGATCCTTCTGCCTCAGCCTCCCAAGTAGCTGGGACTACAGGTGTATACCACCATGCCCGGCTAATTTTTTCTATATGTTTTTAGTTGTCCAGCTAATTTCCTTCTATTTTTAGTAGAGACGGGCTCTTGCTCTTGGTCAGGCTAGTCTTGAATTCCTGAGCTCAAACAATCCACCTGCCTGCTGATAAGCCACTGCGCCTGTCCATTTTTTGGCCACACTGTTTTGAAGACAGCAAAGAGATTTTTTTAAAAAAGGACTTCTACACTGAAAACTACAAAACATTGCTGAGAGAAAGTAAAGATAATGAAGGGATAGATATGCTATATTCATTGATTGAAACATTCAACATTGTTACAATGTTGGTTTTTGTCTTACTTTCTTTTATATTCCCAACCCTTACCATGGTGCCTTGCAAATAGGAAGGACTAAATAAAATACAATTTTTTAAAACTTTATTTCAGAATAATTATAGATTCACAGGAAGTAGCAAAAATAGTAGAGAGGTCTTGTGTACACTTCACCCAGTTTACCCCAGTGGTAACAGCTTACATAACTAGTACAACATTAAAACCAAGAAATTGACATTGCTACAATCCACAAACCTTACTCAGATTTCACCAGCTTTACATACCCTTCTGTGTGTGTGCGTGTATGTTTCTATGTGATCTTCTCATGTGTGTAGATTTGTGTAACCACCACTACACTCAAGGTACAGAACTGTTTCATCACCACGAAGGTCCTTCTTGCTATCTGTCCCTTTGTAGTCCCTTCCCGTTGCCTTCTGTCTAACCCCTGGCAACCACTTATCTATTCTCCGTCTCTATCTCTATAGTTTTGTCAATGTGAGTAAGTGAATGAGAAGATAGTTACATCATTTTGTACTAAAGTTTAGTTAAAGAGATATCAAAGGGGGAAGCTTATTGGCAAAGCCTTAGGGTAACTGTTAATATGTCCAGGTGCTATCTCATTTCTAGTCATCAATTTTACCTCTCAAAACCTTGATTTTTACCATATTGCCCCTAATGCTTAGATTCAAGAGGTCCAACTTTTGTTTACCAGAGTTACACTGATGAACCGTAATACCAAAATGCTAATTTAGGCCAATATGTTTGGCGATTAGTGCACTGTCTTTCCCAAAGGAAGAAACTATAAGAAACTAAATCGTATAAGAAACTAAATTATTCTCAAGGCTGCCAGATGAGCATTATATGAGAGCAAAGGCATAACATTAACCAGCATAGAGCATAGAGATGTAGCAACCAAGTTCATGGGAATAGAAACATGATTGCCCTCTTTCTAGATTCTTGTGCAACAGCGCATAGTTTCCTTAAATCAGTTTTAAGATAATCGGGCAGGTTACAGTTACTTGAGTATCTTCCAAGTTTCTCAGATGTGTTACTCTACAGTGGTGTCATACAGACTATGATACTTTTAAATTTCAGTCTCAGAATGACCTTTTCCTTGACACCAAATGCTGGGGATACACTACTGTAGTCACCAATATATGCCAACTAAATTTGGGGCTCTAAAGCTCTAAGACTTCACCATTTTATGAGGCAGATCCTTCTGTCCTACTTGCATTTTGGCCTTAAGCTGAGATCAGTACTAAGGTGCCATGATCATGAGAAGGGAGTATCTTTTATGAGTGTTTCTTTGGTATATTCTTGGGTTTTTTTTTTCTTAGGCAGATTTCGGGCAGACAACTTGAACAAGCTGAAGAACCTATGCAGCAAGACAATCGGAGAGAAAATGAAGGTAAGAAATCTCAGTAACAAACAGCCTTGAGGGCTTGAGCAAAGGTATTTGATCGTGTTCTTAGTTAATATTCACAGAAGTTATAACTCAATGTCTAAGTCTATGAGATGCTGAGTTTCTTACCATAGGGGGGAACATTATATTAAAAAGAAAAGGAGAGAGGGAACTAAGAGGCACTTTCATTGACTTTAGGGTAAGTGTCTTCTGTGTTCAGATGAGATTCTTGCCACACAAGTCATTGTCTATTCTGATCTTGTAATAGGAATATAAATTCCACCAGTCATCCCTTCCAGGCTCAACCTATGGTACCAGAAAGGTTTTCTTGTGGCAGGCTTCAGATCTTTCTTCCTGGGATAGTCATGCTTCATAATGAAAAGAGCACAGATATGGAGTCCAAATCTTGCCTTGTCCTATTAGTTATGTGACTTTTAGACAAGTTAACTCCTGAGCTTCAGTTTTCTCATCTGTAAAATGACAATACTCACACTCACCCATAGAATGGAATAGTTAGAACTAAATTTCTTTTTAAATGTAGAAAACTTGGCACAGTGTCTAGAACATGTAGTTGTTCAGCAATTGCGAGTTACAGTAGATGGCAAGTAGTTACTGGCCTTCATCCAAAAACGCCTTCCTATGCCTGAAAAGACATTAAATTTCAGCTTTTGCTTTGGTATCCAGAATGGTTCATGTTTTTAACCTTTCTTCAGAAATACCCATTTAGCTCCTTAATCGCTTTTTAAAAAGCATATTAAATGCACTTTACAATCTAGATTATTTTTAAGTTGTAAACCTCCAAACTAAACCAAAAAAATTTATAGCATTTTGGAACCAATAAAGAGCATAACAAAAAGATTATCTTGGGATTTGAGCACCTTACACTTAACTTCACTATAGTCTGCATCCTTCTCTTTGACTACATTGTATATGTAACCCTTTCAGCTGTGGAAACTGATACAATCATAGTTTCTTCCTGTGGGACTCTTGATGCTTAATCATTTACATGTCAGGGGCCCCTAATTATGTTAATTTCTATGTAAACCCCTGCCTGGATGTTCTTTGGGGGCATATACACTTATAGTGCCAGCCAGGTATTTTTTTGTAGCAAGAAGGTGGGAGTGTTTTCATTTACAATAACATTCTTAGATCCGACTTTGCTGCTAGCCATGCAGGGAATGTTCATGCATCCTGTCCATTGGAATGGTGGAAATAGTGCTTTAGTGTGTGCTCCAGTACTTTCATAGATATCTCATTTTGGTTTTGATCCTTATTGCAAACCTGGAGTGTAGATAGAATATTTGTCAGCCCTATTTAAAGGGTAAGGGAATAGGCTTAGGAAATTCAGGAGCTTGCTTAAAATCACACCCTAAGTTAGTTGCGGAGGCAGACTTTGAACTTAGAACTTGAATTTGCTGCCTAATAGACTGTCAATAGCAAGGGAGCCTCATAACTATTTTGCTAGCACGTGTTCACCCTGCCTATACTGCCATTGCAAAAATCTTGAGATTTAGGCCATTTTTTTCCTACCTCAGTAATCTCTGCTTATTCTATCAAGATTCATTCTGATATTTTCAGATTTTTCCTGCTTTTTAAGGTGATTTTGCTGTGAGGCACTGAAGTGTGTGAGTGGGGTTATGGGTTAGAATCCTGACTTTTCACTTTGGTGTATAAGAAAGTGTAATGAACCTAAAGGATTTCCACACTTTACCTTTAGAAGATTTAGTCCCTTCTTGCAACTCAGCTTTGTGCAGTAGGATATGAGGTTGCATAAACATCATTGCCTACTGTTGTATGTAGAGAATAAAAAAATCTTTGGGGCATCGGACATGATTTCTACACTTTGTTTTACTTATACTTGCAAAGCAGGTGCTTAATTTTCTCAAATTATTTTTATACAGGTTTTGCTGAGGTCTTAGATATCTTGTTATAATAGCCTTTGACTCATTTTCTTTGAACTCTTTTTAATTTAAAAAGAATTTGACTTTTTTTGGAAACACACTTTGAGAGAATTTGACATTTAAAATTGGTGTTAAAATTGCCTGGTTCTGTGCAAGAACTAGAAATGATGATTTGGCAGAATATCATAAAGGAGGGTGAGAAGAGAAACTGGAGAGAAAGAAACCTAGCCCTGGTTCCACCCTGGCCATTTTGTCAAATTGCATTGATTGCTCTAAACTTAGTTCTAGATTCTGTGACTTTTTGTTTTGTTTTCCTTGACTATCTGATGTTCCCTCATTCCATCCATTTTTTCCCCCTTAGTCTTAGTGCTGGGATTGTTCTTAGCAGGCAGGCAAGATTCACACCCAGGCATGTGCCTCAAGGCTCACTCTGTGCACCACAGTGCCTCTCCTGCGGTTTATGATTCATGAACATTTCAAATACGTCCTCTTTTGATTCTTGTGATGTTCCGCGTCCAGGGAAAGGCATTCTTCTTGTGTTCTTGATGATGTTAACTCTGACCTCAACAGGTTAATTGATTTTTCCAGGAGCAAAAAGCTGGGTAGGAAGTGGCAGAATAGGGACTTGAAACTTTGACTTCAGGCTTCCAATTTACTAGTTTTTCTCCTACCTGTTGCATCTTTTAGAAAAAGTTATGTAGAAAGTTCTGCGATTAGTTTATATGATGTATTAATTTGGTATGTACTTCATAAAACAGCGCCAGAGATTTTCTTTTATTTAATCATGTTGGGGTTTTTTCTTCCTGCAGAAAAAAGAGCCAGTGGGAGATGATGAATCCATTCCAGAGACTGTATTAAATTTTGATGACCTCACTGCGGACACTTTAGCTGTAAGTTATCGTCCTTTTCTAAGTCGGCATCTCTGTTCTTTTTTCTTAGCTTTGTTCCTAGACAGCGAATGCCGACACGCTGCTCCATGCTGCATTGTGGCATCCTTGAATTTTTGCCACTGGGAAATGTCCCCACCTACTCTCGTTGTATTCTATACTTGAGCATTTATCAGACAGCAGAGACAGAGACAGATGGAGTAGGAAAATCAAGGGTAGGAAGAATAGAAAAAACAATGGAACTGTGTTTGGTTTATATAACTCCATTTTCTACACTTTATTTCACAAAATCAAGGTACTTTTCAACTTATTGCAATACAGTAAAAATTCACTACATTGGGCTTAAAGTAGTAATTTTTGAGTGTTTTAGTCACTGAGCCCTTTCTTGAAACCCTTAACACATAGCAAGAACATAAACCAAAGAAACAAAGTTGCTGTGCTTGAAGGGCTAGGTTGGCAGCCTATTCTGCCTAACCCTATCTACTAAGGGTTCCCCCAAAGGCAGTCAGAGCCCAGTTTGAAACTTCTGCAATAAGGAATACAAAATAAGCTTAAGACAAGGTCTCTTACTCCTAATAAACTTATAATCTTCCTAGAGAACCATTAAATGTAGTACATCACAGAATGCAAAATTGGTTCGATTGGGAAAATCAGAAAGTGCAAATAAAAGGGAAAGTTCTCTTAAGAGAGCCACAGTATTAAAACTCCTGAGATGTTTGGGAACAATAGGAGTGGCAAGAATTTATCCATTTCTGCCTTAGGCAACCCCAAAGAAAAATGCCAATGGATTTGCACAGAAAGACTCTATATCTCCCTGTGTAAAATAAATCTCAGTTCTTCAAAAGCCTTCATTTTCAGTTTTTAAAATGCTGCCACAAGGGTTGTCATCATAGCACAACGGGGTTAGGGCAACAGAATCTTATTCCTGTACTGTCCTTGATTCACTGTGTCCTGCTTGTGGGCCTGGCCTGATTATCTACAGAAACTGAGCGTCTCACAAATCAAAAAAGTCCGACTCCTCATTGACGAAGCCATTCTGAAGTGTGATGCTGAGCGGATAAAGCTGGAAGCAGAGCGATTTGAGAACCTCCGAGAGATCGGGAACCTTCTGCACCCCTCTGTGCCCATCAGTAACGATGAGGTAGGTGGCTGCACCGCAGCAGGAAGCCACCTTACTTTGTCGCTGTCTCTGTGAGGGTGGGGTGGGAGGAGAACTGTGAAACACTGGCACTCTGTCAGAAGCAGGCTCTTTGTATATTCCCTCTGCCCACCAATTGAGAATTGCAGGAGTCAGATCCTTGCCGGATTGGGAAGTAGCAGAGACAGCAGGTAGGAGGAGACTCCTGGCACCGAAATCTCTTCTAAATAGAGCTGCTGTCCTCCGCTGCGTGTTGCCCGTGGTAGCAGCAGTCTGGTGGGAGGGATCTGTTAAATCAACCTAACCCCCTCACCCACACCCCGCTGAGAAGCTGCAGGTTGAAGGGAAATCTGCATGACAAAAGTTTCCTGCTGAGCTGGAGCTTCTCCAGCACAAAGCTGTTCTGAGCCCAGCCTTTGTTCCCTGACACCCCAGCCGTGGCAGGGCCCATCTGTGCCTCTTTCATTCATTCCCTGGTGAACGTTAAACTCACTGCGGCTGGGGTGTGCAGGAGGCCACTGAGCAGAGATCGTGAGCAGACTTGGGAGGTCAGGGCCCTAGCCCGCCCTCATGTGGCCCTGGGACCAATAAGAGCCCGGAAAAAAAATCTACTTTCTCCTCTGCACCCTAGGCGATGCTGGTTGGGGGGGGTGGGTGGGGGGGCAGTTCTCCTTGTGCAGGATTTGAGGAGACATTTAAAAGGGTAAAAAAAAAAAAAAAACAACCAAAAACCCCTGAGAGAATGCTATAGATTACTTGGAAAATCTTGATTTCCCAGTTTCATTGCTAGAGTTGCTTCTAGGACTTTGTAAATTTTTATTTCTCTGTTGAGTAGCAAATTCTCTTCTCTAGTCACTGTACACAATGACCAAAGCCTAGTGTATAAGTTAAGCCATGGCATCATGAAGCTAGGTTGTTCTTGGAATGGGGTTTGGAAAGATGGAGATTATAGAATTAGGAAATCATGTATCTTTCTGGGTCTTGTTTCCTTAGGACGCTGACAACAAAGTAGAGAGGATTTGGGGCGACTGTACGGTCAGGAAGAAGTACTCTCACGTGGACCTGGTGGTGATGGTAGATGGCTTTGAAGGCGAAAAGGGAGCCGTGGTGGCTGGAAGTCGAGGGTACTTCCTGAAGGTAAGAGTTGGAAACCAGTAGGGATAGGATTATAAAGAGGGAACTAAAATTTTTTTTTTTTGCAGAAAAACATAATCTACTTAAAGAGGCCTACAGCTCCACCATTTGTACTCGCCTTTCTGCAAATGTACTGGCAATTAGATGCAATTCTCTTTCTAAAGCCAGAGAGGGCTTATCAGGATTCCATAGAACAAAAGCCACTAAATGAACCTCCATAATGAAGATACGTTTTGCTGACTGAATCAGAACAGTCTCTGCCTCTCAGGAGCTCAGTATAATTGGACAGTCAGACAAGTAACAAAGAATCAAAACCCACTATGATAAGTGCTGTGGTATGAGTAGGCCCAGAGGGCTTTGAGAACAGGTAGCTGGAGGCAATAAACCCAGATTAGCTGGGGCAGGGGCAGATGGATTCATGGAAGCCTTCCAGAGAATATGGTAAAATAATTTTTTGAAATACTGCATATGAATACATATATGTAAGTATGTTTTATGTATACAAATGAGTCCAGTGTTTTAAGAATTAGCACAAGAAGGCCAGGCGTGGTGGCTCATGCCTGTAATCCCAACACTTTGGGAGGCTGAAGTAGGAGGATCACTTGAGGCCAAGAGTTCAAGACCAACCTAGGCAACATAGCAAGACCCCGTTTCTGCAAAAAATAAAATAAAAAATTAGCCAGTCATAGTTGAGTGCGCCTGTAGTCCTAGGTACTTGGGAGGCTGATGCAGGAGGATCACTTGAGCCCGAGAATTGGAGACTGCAGTGAGCTATAATCACACCACTGCACTCCAGTGTGGGTGACAGAGTAAGACCTTGTCTCTTAAAAAAAAAAAAGAACTAGCATAAGAAAACTCTACCATGTACCCTGGGTAAATATTCCTTTTCCCTTAAAAGTAAGGGAAGATCTTAAAGAGAAGTCTGAAGTCTCTTAACAGTGTGCCTATATGACAAGCTGGGCTTTGGTGTGACAAAAGAATCTCTTGAGTCAGTCGCTGCGGTACATGGTTTTGTTGGCCTCCTGTATGCCCCTGGGTAGTTCTGTTCTCTTGCCCCGGTTGCCTCTCAGTGTCAGTTCTAGCAGGTGAACATGACAGTGACAGGACCCAATCACATGGTACTGTGTCTCTTCTCCTTTAGGGGGTCCTGGTATTCCTGGAGCAGGCACTCATCCAGTATGCCCTTCGCACCTTGGGAAGTCGGGGCTACACTCCCATTTATACTCCCTTTTTCATGAGGAAGGAGGTCATGCAGGAGGTGGCACAGCTCAGCCAGTTTGATGAAGAACTTTATAAGGTGAGTAGCCAGGGCATGTGGCAGAATGACTTCTTGAGTTATGTAGCCTAAACTTCAATGATACAGAGCAGCACTTTCCAACAGAACTTTCTGCAATGATGGAAATGTTCTATATTGTGACTCCTGAGCACTTAAAATGTGGCTAGTGTAACTTAGGAAGCAAGTTTCTAATTTTAATTAATTTAACAGCCACATGTGGCTAGTGGCTGCCATATTGGACAGCACAGATACAGAGCCTCTTATCATTCCCTAGGTGATCTTTATGATATATCTAAATTAAGCATACTTTAACACCATGAGCTTAGAAAAGGAGCCTATTTATTGGGTGCTTGAACAAAAGGAAATTGTAGAAGTGGCACTGATCTCCCAGTCCCCTTCCCATGTCCTCCCACTCCTGACCCCAGACTAGAAGTTTCTACAGATCGAGGCATCTTGCCTTGGGATGGGTGTGGCTTCCAGTTTGTGACTTCTTCTCAACCATGGACCATTTCAGGGAGAGCCAGAGGATTCAAGTCAGGGTTCAGAATGTCATTCTGATCAACTGGCTCTAACACCAATGGTAGCACCCCAGTCTGTGTCCAGCACTCAGAATTTCTAGAGCGTCTCTGCTAATAGCCGTGCATTGCAGCAGAGTCTGCTTCTCACTTGTCCCTCTCCTTCAGGACTCCTCTGTCAGAAGTGGGGGCTTTGTTCTTACTGGCTTACTTCCTCCCCAGACCCATGTGGAGGAAGAGTTAGACAGCTGCTGTTGGGCTCATCTGACTTATTTTATGCAGGGAGATAAGTTTAATATTTAGAAATGTCTTTCCAGTGGTCCTGTCGATGAGGCTGAAGTTACGGTTTCATTCAAGATACACTGGGAAACAAAATGTTCTCTCTAAACCCTGAGCATTAGTGTAGCCTTGGCATCCTCCTTCTCTTCTTTCTTTCCTTTCTTTTAATGAGAGGAGGAATGTGTTCGTGTATCAGCTAAAACCTGTTTTACCTTTTCTCTTTTTTTCTAATTTCAACTCCCAAGGTTGGATAATCACCAACAGAACTGTAGAAATATCCACTGCAGGTAATACCAGGGAGAAACTGATGTGGAGTATTACAAGAAATATTAGCAGCTAGGGTTCCCTGTGTTTTCTGCATCCTCCCTCTCTTATCCAGATGCTTTTTGGATCTACAAATAGGAAGAACCCCAGGTTTCTATAGTGAGGAATTTTGGCTGGCATTTCTTCCCTGATCTAAACCTCAGTTTGTTCATTCTCTAGAGCAGTACTGTCCAACAGAACTTTCTGCAGTGATGGAAATGTTCTATATCTGCATGATCCAGCATGGCAGCCACTGGCTACGTGAGACTGTTGAGCACTCAAAATGTGGCTAGTGCAACTGAGGAGCTAAACTTTAATTTAATTCAATAGCCATATGTGGCTAGCGCCTGTGCTGCATCAGGCTGCGCAGCTCTAGAGATTTCCTTTGTTTATGTGAATGGCCCCACAGGGTTTAACTTCTAACTGTCAGGTAGCAGGGTAGTTTTCTAGGCCTCCAAACATGGGCCTAGAGGAAGTTTTCTCCTCTACATCTTTTGTTTGTTTGTTTGTTTGTTAAAATAATGCCACATCATAGAGAATTTAGAAATGAGTAGGGGATATTATCTACTTTCCCATTGCCCTGAAACAATTGTCATTTTTAAATAATCTCCTTGCAGCTTTTTCCCTACTTATGTCATTTTCACATAATTATAATCACAATGTACGTAGATTGCCTTTTGACTTAACATTATGTCAAAAATGTTTTTCTGTATTACCGTATGGTCTTCATAATCATTTTTAATGGTTGCGTAATATTACATGGACTGGACATAGGATAGTCAGCTCTTCCCCTGTTGAGTATTTAGGGGGCTTCCTTTCTTGCTGTCAATAAATAAATAACTTTGACTATAAACAGACAATAAACCTTGTGTTTTCCTTATTAGATAAGTGAAAAATAAGCCCCTTAATTTGCATTCCTTTGATCTCTATCAGGGACCCCATTTTGGACTGACCCGTTACCATTACCTTATCCTTTTAGCATTCCCTCCCCACTCCCAGGCAGGGATTTAAGAATATTCTTCCTGCCCTGTCCCCGGTATCTTTCCTATGGTTTCTTGTTCTAGCCAAGGTCCTCCTTCACTCTTAACTGGCATAGGTCCCTTCTTCCACAGGTGATTGGCAAAGGCAGTGAAAAGTCCGATGACAACTCTTATGATGAGAAATACCTGATTGCCACCTCAGAGCAGCCCATTGCTGCCCTACACCGGGACGAATGGCTCCGGCCGGAGGACCTGCCCATCAAATATGCTGGTCTGTCCACCTGCTTCCGCCAGGAGGTGGGCTCACATGGCCGTGACACCCGTGGCATCTTTCGAGTCCATCAGTTTGAGAAGGTGAGTAGCAGGTCAGAGTAAGGAGAGGAGCCTTCTGTCTGCCCAGGGTGGTTAGAGAAGAGACAGGGTTTATGTTGCTGGGGCGCATCCTGGCCCCCAATTTTCCTCTCATTGCTATGTCTGTGTTTCTGGGGAAGAGCCTGGGAAGCACGTGGTGGAGTGTGGACCGAGACAGCCTAAAAACAAATGCGCACCGCGCCGCTTACCAGCTATGTGACACTGGACAAGCTTCATAACCTCTTTGTGCTCAGTTTCTGCCTCCGAAAAAGGAGGACAATAATAATAGTGCCTACCTCACCAGGCCTACTGTGAGGATTATCCTAGTTACCGTGTGCAAAGCACTCAGAACAGTGGCTGGCGTGGGTATATGGCGAGCTGTCTGTGTAAGCATTTGTTCTTGTTGCAGTGCGCTCCCTGTTGCTGGAGGCCCAGCTTTGCTGCCTCTTCATGGTGTAGGAATAGGTCTTCATTGCAAAGACATCTCCCACTTCAGTCCTTTATTCACCCTATACCATTGTCACCATCTCCTTGGGTCCCCCTCTGCAGATTGAACAGTTTGTGTACGCATCGCCCCATGACAACAAGTCGTGGGAGATGTTTGAAGAGATGATCACCACCGCTGAGGAGTTCTACCAGTCTTTGGGGATCCCTTACCACATTGTGAATATTGTCTCAGGTATGGGACCCGTCATCTTCTCAGCCTCCCTCTCCTGCGTCCCACAGACACCACCCTCACCAGCTGAGCTACCACACTAAGAAATAGCTCACAATGCAACTCATTACCCATATTAATTAAAATATCACACTCTCCTCACTTGGGAGTGTTTAGTGATAAGCCTATCTGGGTGCAGTTTCACTTCTGGGGATAGGACATGAATTAAAGAATTCTTCAGGCTCACTAAAGGTTAGCCTCCTGAAATACCATCCCTCCGTGAATTCTAGGGGTTTTTCCTTACAGGTTCTTTGAATCATGCTGCCAGTAAGAAGCTCGACCTGGAGGCCTGGTTTCCGGGCTCGGGAGCCTTCCGGGAGTTAGTCTCCTGTTCTAATTGCACGGATTACCAGGCTCGCCGGCTCCGCATCCGATACGGGCAGACCAAGAAGATGATGGACAAGGTAGACAGCCCCCAGGGAGGTGGGAAGCAGGGCTTCGGCACAGAACGCATCCATCCTATTTCTCAGCCCTTGGGGAACATTAGCTCCCAGCATCATGGGAAAATCTGAGCTTCTCAATCTGTACCAAAAAGGGAACCTAAAAATGACCTCTACTGAGTCAGAACTGAATTCTTCTAAATAGAAACCTAAATCTAGCTCTATTCTGCAAGGTAATTCTACCTTTTCTCTTTTTGGCTTTGTTTTTCTTAACTCCAGAGAAAGAATAATCTCCATTTATCTACACAGAACAAGTTGGAGGCAATGTCTTCCCTCTTCTCACCCAAGAAGGTCTGGGTTGTAAGCTTATCTCTTCAAACCCAATCTTCAGGCCCTAATCTTTTGCAAGTCAGGGGCTTGGAAGGGGTTAAAAGGAGAGGCCACAGTAGTAGTTTCTTCCTTCCCTCAAAGGGCCCAACTCCACAGAATACTGGGATCTACCACTTGTCACTCAGGGAAGCATGAGGAATCTATTCAGAGTTGTCTACTAAGGAATAAATACCAAACAGATTCTAGTTTAGAAAAAAGTTGATAATGGGTAGAACCCTTCATTTTGATTTGTTTAGTTGGAGTTGGGGGGTTCTGGTTGAGTGGATGGTTTCTGGTCATCAGTGAGACCGGCTGAGAGTTGAGTTTAACTTTCCCTCTGGGACACTCTCTTCCCAGGTGGAGTTTGTCCACATGCTCAACGCTACAATGTGCGCCACTACTCGTACCATCTGCGCCATCCTGGAGAACTACCAGGCAGAGAAGGGCATCATTGTGCCTGAGAAACTGAAGGAGTTCATGCCACCAGGTAAAACTCCCAGCTCAGCTCATTTTCCCTTGCCTTCTTTTCTGCCTTCACACTCTTCTGATTAGCAGGCCCCGTTCAGGATGTACCAAGTTTTCTTGTTAAGACACAGTCCCTTGAAACTCTGTCTACCCCGAATGCTGGGCAGTGCTGGGGGCTGGCTGAGGAAGTAGCCTAGCCAGGTATGGTATTTAAATGCTGCTAAAATTCATACTAGGGAAGAAAAGAATAAATGAAACCAGTGCCTATTAAGGGGACCCCTTTGTTTAAAGAGATCATTGTCCCCGTCTCTGAGAAACGATGGGTCATTTGGTTGGCTCTTACCTCCCAGGACTCCAAGAACTGATCCCCTTTGTGAAGCCTGCACCCATTGACCAGGAGCCATCAAAGAAGCAGAAGAAGCAACATGAGGGCAGCAAAAAGAAAATGGCAGCAAGAGATGTCACCCTGGAAAACCGGCTGCAGAATATGGAGGTCACTGATGCCTGAACATTCCTGCCTCCCAGTTTGCCAGGCTTTCATTTCTGTCTGCTGGGATCGCAGAGCCTGCCCAAGAGCAGGGAAGCCAAGCACCCACTCATTGCCCTGCTCCCATCTGACTGCATAGGTAGAAGGGCAACAGTCTGTCAAATACAACACACGTTGTCTCTTCGCATGGGCATAGGAGCTAATCACTGATGACTGATGAAACCATGTAATAAAACATCCCTGGGGAGGGCTCAGGACTCTTCCTCAGTCTTCTACCCAGGACTTGAGCCCTGTCTCTGACGGTTCCTCCTGAGACTGTACTCACTCCAAATAGGGCTGCCCCCTCTGTGTAGCAAGTCAGACAGCCTTTGGGCAAGTAGGCGAAGGCGGGTAGATTTTGTAAAGGCTTCAGGGAAGGCGAAAACCTGGAGTCTTAGACGCACAAGCTTGCAGGACAAGGGCCAGGACCCTCCTTTATAATTTTGCTTCTGCTTAAGAGCATTGCGATAATTGACTAGCTTAGAGACCAGAGTTGATGTAAAAGTCTCTTAGCACTTCTTTTCCCTAGGAAGGGCTCCACGGAAAGGGAGAGAAGCTGTATTTAATTTAGGAGCCCCTGGATTCAAGAGCATGGGTCAGGGTCTCATGAACAGCGGCTTCTCTCTTTACAGCAACCCCAGATGGGGAGACCCGCTGCATAGCAGCTTGTTGCTGCAACTCCAAGGGATTGAGACAGGCAGCAGGGCACAGGGAGGGGAAGAATGTTTTAATCCCTTCTCTGGAGCTCCCACCGTTGCCCTAATAGCCAGTTCTCCCTTTCTCTGGGGAGGGTGATATTTAGGCTCTTGATTTACCTGCTGCCTTTCATCTGCAATCTACAAACCCTTTACTTTAATAACACCTTGTGTTAGTTTAGTGCTTCTCTCCTAGGAGGTCAAAATGGAGGATCTCTTTTATCTTTGTGACAGTCCCAGAAGGTAGGGTGGGGACATGATTATACCCATTCCATCCTATGGAAGACAGAAGTACAGGTGGGTAAGGGAGGTGAGACAACAGGGCCAGGTAGAAGTTGGGAGTCCTGCCTCCTCAGCAATGCTTTATGTTTGCTGTGTTTCTTTGGGAGGTTGAGAGTTGGAATCTGAACTGGCCTGTCACTTGGGAGCCTTTGTCTCACCTCATCTTCCTGAGTCCCTAAGCACTGACTTCCCTGGGCCTGCTGGAGCTTGGCACCAAGGAAAGAGGCCATGTGCTCAGTTTTGCACTGGGGGCTACTGGAAACCTGTCAAAACTGGGGCTCCTGAAAGGGCGACCACAGTGGCTCTCTTGCCTTGCCTGGCTAGGCCAGCTGGGGTCCCACAGGTAGGCTCAAGCAGCCCATTGCCCTCAGCTTTGAGATAACAAAATCCTGGTGAGAGGACAAAAGAGCAAGCTGCTCCCATTTGTAACTCAGCAGGACCAGAAATTCACATTCCTGTAGCCTCAAATTTGGTTTGAAGAAAGGCAGCTTACGCAGTAAGCAGGAGGCTATTTTTGCCCCCGCCCCCACCCCTGTTCCAGAAGCCCATCAGAAACTTTGAGATGGTGGCCAGGCATGGTGGCTTATGCCTGTATCCCAGCACTTTGGGAGGACTAGGCGAGAGAACCAATTGAGCCCAGGAGTTTGAGACCAGCCTGGGCAATATAGCAAGACCTCATCTCTACAAAAAAAATTTTTTAAAAATTAGATGGGTGTGGTGGCGCACACCTGTAGTCGCAGCTACTTGGGAGGCTGAGCTGAAGGATCACTTGAGCCTGGGAGTTGGAGGCTGCAGTGAGGTGACAGGGCAAGACCCTGTCTCAAAAAACACCACCATCTTTGTCTTAGCTTTAGCCTCAGAGGTCCCCACAACTGCCTCCTCTGCGTCCCACTCCTATCCTCTTGATGCCTTTGACCTTCCTACCAGCAGGAGGCTCTGCATTTCTCCATGTCCCTGAAAGCTCTGTGGGAGGACAGAAGCTGGGGCTCTGAGCCCTGGGCAGACAGGAGTGCTCTTGGCTTCCTCACACCAGCTGAGTTAACCACCTCACTCCACTAGTATTCTGGGGCTGGCTGCTTCTGGAGCCTGGACCCCCTGCTGCTTTGTGCAAAGCCCCGCCCCGTGCCAGCCTTCCCTGCCTGCCCTGTGGCAGGCTCAGTGTGTGAACTGGCCTGGGAGCCAGGCTAGGAAGATAGCTGCTGTGTGGACTAACTGGTCTGTTAGCAGAAAGTATACCCCCTGCTTCCTGAAGCCAGAGGAGAGAAAAGGAGTCAGTGGTAGTGGAGGCAAGGTTGACTGGCTGAGGTCACTCCCCACGGGTCTTGCACAAGAACACATTGGCAGGAGGGCACACACACAGTCATTTACTGAGTGCTTGGCACCATTAGGAGTAGGGGTTACTGTGCTAGGCACCATTAGGAGTAGGGGTTACAGAAAGAATGGGGCACAGTCCTTGCTGTCAAAGAACTCAGTCTGTTGGGAAAGGTGTAGCTTGTCTTCCTCTGTAGTGAATTGAAAACCAGACTCTTTTCCTCCCTGAAGCAGTGGGATGGGGCTGATACAAGCCTTGTTTAGCACAGGCTGACCCACTTGGAAGCTGAGCAACTGGGAACGGGCCCAGATAGCCTTGACTCCACCCTCATAGTTGCCTCCGCCACCCACGGCTGATGCCCTCATCCCTGGCACCTTGACCTGCTCCATCGCCAACCTTGGCTACCCAGGTGACCTCAGTTAGCAAACAGCCTCCGGAGCCCAGTGGAATGAGTCAGGGCCCTGGGTCCCTCACCAACTCTTGGTTCCCACACCCAGAAATTCCAGGCCCCAAATGTAGGGCCGGGTGCTTAGGGCAAGAGAGTGAGGAGACACTGGGACCAGGTGTCTAGCCTCTCCATCAAGAGAGATAGCTAGAAGCCAGGCTTCCAGAGAGAGATGTTAAAGAGGCGGTAACTACAGTGACCCAGTGTGAGAGCAGGGGGCCTGCCTGAGCTCACAGCTGGGCAGGGCAGCTCAGCAGCCAAACACTGAACCCTCACTCCTGGGAACTGGCGCTCCCTATGAACTGTCCTGCTTTTCCTTCCCGGAAGATTTTCGGGTTTACCCAGGGTCCTGAGAACGCCTCTTCCCCAACCCCCATCCCTCCCACGGCGGGGCCTGGGGCGGCCCTGGCTACACTCCCAGGATGAGTCTGACAGTCAGAGCTGGGATGGGCCCCAGAGAAATGCGCTGCATGTCAGAGCCTGTGCCAGGATGAGGGGCTGCTCCGCTCCCCCAGTTGCCTCCCAGCTTGGGGTTCCCCAGCAGCTCCTCCCAGATACACACAAAAGGGAGGTGAATCCTTGCAGCCTGGGCTGGCCAGGTCCGAGTGGGGCTGCCGCCTCTGCCTGACATTGCCCTTTTAAGAGTCCCCCCAATGGGGGCGGGTTGGGGGTGCTGCAGGCAGCCTCCTGCAGAAACCCAGCAATGTGCAGCTCCCCACCGGCCTGCCAGGAAAGAAGACCTGGACTCCGGTTCTCAGCCTCTATGCCCCGGGACCTTTGGGACAGAGGTAGGGGGTCCCAGTGACCTCTGAGAGAGCCCCTTTTTCCGGAGGGGAAGGTCGTCTCTAGCTGCTCTCATTGGGTAGTTCACAAGCCCTGCATTTTGGAGAGCGGACGGACGGGGCTTCCCTCCCCATACACGAGCCTGCTGTCGGAAATGGCCCGGGAAGTTATCTCCATTGAGGTGTAAATAGCTGATAAGATGGCGTGGCCCCTCTAAGAGTCTTGTTTTTTAAATGCTGAAGAAATGGAAGAATTAAGCTTGCATTTAGAATGTCCTTTATCCTTTCCTCCTTCCATCTTGTCTCAGAGAAAATTCTTTTAACTCTTTTTCCAAAACCAGCCATTGTCTACTAGTGGCCTGGGTCTCACACTGCTGTGTCCCCTGAGTCCCTGCTCTCCGACGAGCTCTCTCCTAGTCTCCCCTCTCTTGTCTCTCCCCTCCCCTCAACCCGCGTACCTATTCCTGTCTTGAGCCAGTGGTCCTGCAGTCCTGCCTCTCCTGTCAAACTGGGGTCCCATCTGGCTCCTTTCCCTCAAAGATTAATGACTAGTGGACACTCGCAGGCTCTGCTACCTCATTAACATTCCCAGCCCCCTCAGAGGGAAGGTGGAATGTTCCAGACAAGTAACAGCAGAAGTGGGCAGGAAGAAGGCCAGCGTGGCTGGAGTGCGGAGCGAGGGCCAGAGGGAGCCGAGGCTGGAGAGGCTGGAGGTGTAGGCAGGCTAAGGAGATTCCCAGGGTTCGGGCCTCTCCTGGCCCTTTCTCCCGTGCTCTGACCTCCACATGCAGGGCTCCCAAATCCATCCTCTCTCATGCGAGCATCTCCACCAGGATCTCAGACCCAGAAGTCCGAAATCTAAATCCTTATCTGATCCTCTCCCCCCCTCCTCTCAGGATCCAGGCGCCCCCAAGGCCTGGCGTCACCCTGGACAACTCCCTCTGCATGCCCAGCTGCCAGTCTCCTGTGCAGTCCCACTGAGTCTCTGTCACGCAGATCTGCCCCTTGAAACCTGTTCCTCAGCGCCAGCACCAGCTCTCCTCCTCCTGGACAAGGAGGACCACCTCCTTGCTGGCCTGCCGGACCCCAGGCCCTCCTTCAGGTGCATCCTCCTTCCTGTGCCACAGTGGTCTGCGGGCGGTACCGCCATGGTCATCCCTCCCCGCCAGCACACGCAAGCTCCTGAGTCCAGGCTGTGGGGCCGTGGCCAGCCCAGAGAAACAGGCTCTCTGCTCTTCTCATCCCACCAGCCCCCGATTCCTCTCGTCTCCCAGCACAGACCATGCACTGCACTCTCCATGTTTGCTCCTGCCCGTCCCTCTGCCCAGATGCCTTTTCCTCCTGCCTATCCGTGGAATTCTCCCTTCCTCTTCAAAGGGGCTCAAATGCCACCTTCTGGACAAAGCCTTCCCTGACTCCTCCATCCCCGCACAAAAACATGAGGGAATATAGCTCTGCAACAGCATTTTTCTTTGTCCGCCTTAGAATGGCTGCCCCTTGAGGCCATAGCTCATCTGTGTACCTCTCACGCCTTGCCACCTAGCCCCGTGGCTGGAGCATGGCTACAGCCAGGCAGGGGCTCCCTCCTCGGCCTGCTCTGACAACTTCAACAACCAAGTTACTGCAGATGTCACTTTGGGATCTGCTGCCCATAGGTTCCTCCCTTCCCCTCTGTGCTCGGGGGTAAATATCACCTCAGCTGGACTCTGCATCCCTGTGGAATGCTGGGCCTATTA